TACATTTGTTACTCATTTATGAAGCACAGTACATGTTTCGTACTTGTAATTACCGCTACTTGTACACATACCTAAAAAGTTGCAAATATGTACCCCTAACTTGTTTTTCAAAATATTAATAAAAGGGGTGTGTCTCCAAACAGCCATCTCTTTCCTGACAATTCCCTTTGTGCATATTCTCTTACATATGATAAGTCAACATTGAAACACCTGCGGCTTTTAGTCAGGTGCAGCTAATGTATGTACAAAACTGGATTTTCCCCTGATTTTAGCTTGTGCGGCTAATATTCAGGTGCGCTTTGTAGTCCGGGAAATACGGTAATGAATTAATGAAAAAGTCTGTTTTTAAAAAACAGACTTTTTATGTCTTAAACAGACTTAAAAACATTAAATCAAAATACTACTATTATTCTAGATATTAGGCCATATTTACATAAAAAATACAAAAGAAACAGATTTCCCCAGATTCTCTCCCACTTTACTCAGATCAGCTTGTTGTTGTGTTTGTGACAGTCCAAACATGTTTGCCAAATGGGAAGTACTCTCTGGCAGGCCAGCGATGCAACTGCAACACTGATAACAAAGTTGAACAGTGTTTCCCTTGTCTCTTCTTCACAGTTTTAATTTTCATTTATAAATACCACACCGATATACGGAGATGTTTTCAGCCTCTAGTTATAAATTCAGTCTAGGAGTCAGTTTACAGGCATTTGAAAGATTATTTTAACATTTGTGACTGCTGTTCACGATTTATTATTACTGCTGCTTTATATTTATCTACTATAAACCTGTAAATACCATATAAAGGTGTGGCTTTGACTGGACTCAGTTCAGTCTTTGTCTCTTACTTTTGTCAGTTTAGGAAAACAAACATAGTGATTGTTCTTTTTTTCAAGCTCCAGTACATGATGTAAGCCGTAAGACATCTTTTTAACATGTTTGGATACTTGTTTACCCCTTTAACGCAGAAGAACAGATTTGCAGAAACTCCAAAATACTGCCAGCGGGTGACGTTAGAATATGTATGGACCATTTGCACCCTGTAATGACTGCCCAAGTCCTCTCGACTCAATTTTAAACCCCATGAGAGTTTCCTAATACCTTACCAGGCTGATAACTATTTGGTATCCCAAAAAAATGCAAAATATGTTTGGAGTCGAATACATTGACAGCTGCTCCTGAAGAAAAACATCTTCCTGCATAATAAGGTACAGTCAACAACACATCATATAGACTTAGTCTGCAGCAAGTGTTCAGCAAATGCTGTGAAAAAGAGGTAAACACATCCTGTCTGACCCTCTTTGTCATTAATAAAATATGCCATAGTCATTGTCATTTTTTTCAGTTATTTATCCAAAGATTTTCCTTGCATTTATTCATCACCACAGCCTGATTTTCTGGGCTTCATGTTGATATGTCACACAATAAAACATAATGCGTATAGTGACGTTTACTTTTTTTTAAGACTCCATGACCTTTCTTCTTTGCCTCCATCACCCTAAACTTTGAATTTTTTATATCTGGTGACCTGGTCCTTGTTAATATTTGCTGTGTGCATTCTTGCTCCCATCAGGAAGTAACCTATTGATTTCTGATGACCCCTGTATCACAATTTAAATAAAAATGGAGCTCAAAACATTTAAGAATAGCATAGAATTTTGCAGCATGATTTTTCTTACTTTCTTCAAAAATTCAACGCATTGGTAGTCATCATCTAATTCTTTTTGCTGCTTTAGAAAAAAAAATCTTATTTTGTTCCCCCTTATGAGCTCTGTACTGCTAAAAGGGAGATGAGATAAGGATGGGATGGGAGTCACAGTGAAAAGGGAAGAAAAAGTAACAAATAATGGAAGAGAGGGCAAGACTGTATTTATTAATATTCCTTTATTTTCTCTTTGTTTGCCCTTTCATCTTTCATAGTGATGCCAGTTTTCTCTTGTTATTCAAGCTTCAATCAAATCATCTGTCACACTCTATCATAAGGTCCAGTTCCTCTCTTTCCTGCTGCTCACAACATAATAAGGGCTGCATTAATCAATGCCTATAAAGAGAACCTATTTGTCTTTAAGCCGTGCCATCCGTCCTCTTATATTGATTGAGCTGTCTCTTTCTATTTGTCCAGACTGTAATAAAAAGACTCATTCCAATAGTTGCATTAACAGGACAGACAAAGCATCAGAGCTTGTCTTCTTTTTTTTCCCGTTGGCTCAAAGACACGTTTGTCCATCATTCTCCAAACTTTGTGTTTCTCTCTCTGAAGTTGGAATTGTCTGTCTCTAAACGGTTTCTTATACATTTTTAATGACTGACCGTGTTCAGCTCTTTCTAACGTTTCTCCTCTCGGCAGAAAGTTTCTCTCGCAGTTCTTTGGGGGATGCAAAAATCTATCCACTAATTGAGACCTGGTGGTGCTCTTCTATGATTAATTTATTTCTCGCCATGTTTCCACTGTGGTCTTTCAGATTAGGCATTATTATTAGTTTGGCATTAGACGCTAGTATGCAGTAGACATCATGGAGAATAGAGGTTCATACAGACCTTTGTATGAACCTCTCAGTGGGATCCTGAGTAAAACGGTCAAATCAGAAATAATCCTTGTCCTCCTAAGTGCTGTTTTGTTTTCCTTGACCCCTTTTACAGGCAGGACTTCATCCAATGAACCCCAGCGCCTTGTTTCCCTTGGCAGCCTGTTGGATGATCAGCACTGGCATCATGTAGCAGTGGAGCGGCGTGGCTCTCACCTAAACCTCACTGTGGACAAACACACAGAGAGGGTTCAAATCCCTGCAGACTTCAACCACTGGAGCATTGAACAGGTATTTTCAAACACAGAAAGGATTAAATTTAGCTTCTACCTTTTGTGCAAACAAAAGTGCAAAAGATGAGTTGCAGATATTATGTTTCCTTCTTTTAAAATAATCAGTTTATTTGTGTATCATTGTTTTCATACAGCTGAGTTTGGGGGCAGTTCAGAGTGAAGTCTCTCAGAAACCAGTAACCTCCAAGAAGAACTTCAACGGGTGCCTGGAAAATCTGCTGTATAATGGCCACAACCTGATAGAACTAGCTAAAAACAAAAAACAACAAGTTACTATTTCGGTAAGTAATTTTAACCTGTGTAACACAATTTAAACACAACCTGACTTTTTTTAATGATTTGGGGGGTTTTTTCTCCTTCATTACAGTAGACGGTTCAGTGAAAACTGTATTTTGTTTTTAAGAAAAGGACTTTAAGAAAGGGGGGAAAAAACTGAAAACATGCATGTTGGCTTCTCCCCATAAAAGCAAGGTTTTTCACCAATTTCATACAGGCACACTGCAGACAGCGGCCTCGCAAAATTTGCATGTATGTTAAATGATCCTTTAAGGCACTGCAGTATTTGTGTTTATACATCATGCGGTGAACACCAGGTTTCTGTTTTTGGGGCCATTTTAGTGGCTTTATTCAACTGTAGAGACAAATATCAAAGATAAAAGTAAGGACATAACATCAACCGTTCTACCAACTCTAAAGTCTTCAAACTGAAGACTTTAGAGCATTTGCATCAGTCTGCACCATAACCAGCTGATGTTAGTCCAAGTCTTTAACAGTGAGCTATGCATAGAACTATGGACCCTGCATGACAGCTCCCTTCCCAGCAGCTGTGGCTTTCACATAGGTTCAGCCCACTAGTGTTGCTTCTGCCAGCCAAGTAAGAATCAGAGCACACCTGAAAAAAGCTACCCTTGACCTAATTTTGTCTTTCTTTAAACTATGAATAATTTAAACCTGCTGAAATGTTTAAAGAAATAGAATCGTTTTATTATGTTTTTAATACATTGATATAATCATATTTCATTGAAACTAAGGTGAAAAGTGTCAGTTATCATGTCATTATGACCATCCAAATACCATTTTACTGTTTATTTTCAAACTACACCTCAAAAAAGTGTGTTCAGCAGATTCATTTCTGCTGTTAAAATGATGAAAGGCTTTATACACAGCTCTATTAAGGTCGTACCACAACATTTTAGTCAGGTTGAGGTCATTGTGTTCTCGGGTTCATTTTCTTGGTGCATGACCAGAAAGCAGAGTTCATGGTTGACTTTATGATCCAACAAGCCCAAATCATCACCTTCCACCACCATGCTTGACAGGTGGTATGAAGTATTTGTGCTGATATGCTTTGTTGTGTCTTTGCAAAATGTGCATTATGGCCACACATCTCCCCTTTGGTCCCCTTTGATGATGATTAATTCATTCATTCATTTGATTAGGACCTGGCTGCAATCTATGGTTATGGAACTTCTAACGACATATTCCTGCATTTTGAATTTTTGTTAAATAAATACTGACATGTTGCAATATGCGGGGCACTGTTCATCTGAGGTCGTCTTCACATGATTTTGAGACTTTTGAGATTTTTAAAATTATGTCCTGATATGTAAACCTTTAGAATTAAAAAGGGTTTACTTTCTTTTTTTCCATAACTGTAAATATAGGTTATCTTTAAATTTTCAAGCTTTGTAAGCTGTGCTGGTTGAACTATATGCTTGTGCTGCTCTCAAGGACCTACTGAGCTGGTTAATGAAGCCAAGACAAATATGTGTTGTGTGGTTAGACTCACTTATGCCTCGTCATTGTGGGAGTTATGGCCTTTAGAGTTTTTTGCATTTGCAATGAGTGGATCAAGCTCATCTGGGAGCTGTGAAGCGCTTGTGATGAAGTAATATGTGCTCTGTCATTACAGTATAGGGCCAAACAGCAGAAAGAAACATGAATTCTTGGTAAACAGGTTCAAAGATTTACACGCATGGCTGAAGATTTGAGTGGTCCTGCAGCTCTTAAGGTACTAACTGCAAAGCTGTGGTCTAATCTGCTACAGGCACTAAATGGGTCTTCTTACAGCTCTTTGAGGAGACAATAATAAGAAGAAAATAAGAGTGTAAATGGAGGAAGAATGGTGCGCCGATGCTGAAGGCTTTTGAGGGTTTTTAAGGTAACTTTACTTTGTGTTGTGCAGCAGCAAAGCCCACTCCAACATGAATAATTGTACATCACTTTAACTGCACCACAAAGGGCTTTTAGATGTCATCTGTGTTTCCAGAGCATTGTAAAGATAGCAGACTGAAATTCCCAGCAGAGAGTCGGGACTATAATAAATTACTGCCGCAGCTTGAGCGGTGAACCCCGCGTCATTACCACTACTCAAAACAATGGACTGTAACAGAGATATCAGATATTGCAGTACTGGCCATGCTCTATGCTCTCTTCATTTTATTTCCATTTTTTTTTTTATCTCTTTTACCTCCACACTAGGTGACTTTGGCATTTTAGAGTTTGCTTTTCTAATCTTATCCTAAGCTCTGCTGTTATCATTATGGTAATACCAATGTCCTCTTTAAGGAGACTTGCTGATGAGATCACGGAGACATGAGGTCAGATCAGCACGCCCTCTGTAGCTGATTAATATTCATGTTTTATGTTGTTTTATCTCTATAGTATCTTTTTTTCTGTCACACCTCCTCTTTCTCTCCATTCTGCATGTTTCCCTCTCAGGGCAATGTCACCTTT